AAAAAAAAAAAAAAAAAAAAAAAAAAAACTAAACTAAAAAAAAAACCACCCCCCCAATGAACACAACTCAGTACATGCTCTGATGCAAGGAAAAATTCATTTATTTTGCTTCAGAGAGTTCTGTAAATGCGTAATGAAATAGTTCCAATTCAAAATTCTAAAAATGATGCCTGAGAGATGTGAAAATGCATCTTATCCTGCTAATGATCTGCTTAGCTCACTTGTACAACAGGTGTATGTCAGGCTGCCTTGATGAATGGTTTCTCTTGACTCCTTGTATGGAATAAACACTACAGCACACCATAATGTTCAACAGACCCATAACAGGACAGTTGCAAGCTTAGTGTCTTTGATTTAAAGGTACACAACAGAAAGTGTGTTTCAGGATACATACAGAAAGTGCCATCTCTTACCCCACATCAGCACCATGCTCCTCACTAGCACCCACGCTCTCCCGCCCACAGGGTGGGACACAGTGAGGACTGATGCTTGCAACCCAAGTCCATACACAAAGGACTGTTTCTGTTCATCTCAACACACCACTCTCTGAGATGTGACGGGCTGATGCCCTCATCCCAGTACTGCCTGAACAGCAAGTGCACTGGGAACCTTGGAGCCCGGGTGGGGACAGGGAGGAACCAGACAGACCTGGTTCTTATGTTCAAAAGTCTGGGGAGACTGAGGCTGGCAAGATTCTTCCTCCCAAAGCACTCTTTGCCCCTAGTAACTTATCCCCTAAAGGTAAGAACACTTCTAAAGGTAAAGGCAATTTACCCCTGATCCAGATGTCATGGAGCCTGTGTCATGCCTAGAACTTGGGGTGACAGAGAATGTTCCTGGGGCTGGTCCCCAGCAGTGCCACACTGCAGTTCCTGGGGCCCCTGCCCACCTCCCTCAGGTTCCAGTTGTGAGTCCTAGGCCTCTGCCATCCATCCAAGACTCTAGACTGGAGCCCCCTTCCCACCCCAGGTTCATCAGGAAAAGTGAAGGTACGGTGTGGGAAACACTTAAAGAGGAACAGCTGGCCAACATTTTGTTCTTCCCACCTCTCCACCAGTGGCTTCCTACATGTGACCTGTCCTGACAGCTGGCACGACTGGTGGTGGCAGTCCATCTGTGGAACCCAACCCTCTGAGGGCTGTGTCCCCTTCTGCTTTGACCCAGGACTGTCTGCATACAGTGCCATGTGGCAAGGGAAGTTTTCTGCTGTGTATAAAAATGCCAAGAGCTGACTTTTGCCTACATGCTAGCTAATTTAAAACAAAAATGCCCTTATCCAGGTCATATGTGATTAAAATATTAGCCCAGCAAAAGCCTAGCAAGATTTAGAAGTTAGGAGTTCATAAACACATTTCTGGTTTTCCAGATATTCACAAAATCTGACAAATATCAATCTGGTTGTTTTTCCTTTGGTGCTAGGGATTGAACCCAAGAAATACACTGTGAGTCACATCCCCAGTCTTTAAAAAAATTTTCATTTTGAGACAGAGTCTGGCTAGGTTGCTAAGTTGCCTAGGCTGGGCTCCTGCCCCAGCTACCCGGTGTGCTGGGGTTACAAGTGTGCACACCTGGCTCAAAAAATCATTTTCAGCTGGGCATGGTGGCACATGCCTATAATCCTATCACCTGCAAGGCTGAGGCAAGAGGACTGCACAAGTTCAAGGCCAGTATGGATGACACAGTGAGTCCAGAGCCAGCCAGAACTACATAGCTGAGACCCTATCTCCAAAAAAATTTTTTTAAAAAATTGATTTGTAAGTTTTAACTAAAATCACATCAATCTGTTATGTGCCCTGGGCTCAAAGTGAATTACCAGATTTCTCTACTTCAAGCTTGGAAAGCTCTAGAACTGTAAAATCATGCTTGTTGACATAAAGCCTGAGGATCTGCCCAGCAAACTGTCTCCATGCAGAACGTGGGATTAGGACAATGGAAGCTCTTTAAACCAGAGTTACAGGCACCCTAGAGCACACCGTGAGCTGTTCTCACTTTAAACACTTCTGAAGGGAGGATTCCATCCCTGTACCTTTAGGACTTAGGTGGTTTATACTTGTGTACTGGGGGGAAAGGGGTGTGTTTTAAGGCCTATTTGATTTTTAAAAACTCAGTCTGCTAGATGTGTGTTCATTTTGTGAGAATCTATTATGCTATACATTGTTTACTAGTGCCATATGACTGTTTTACTTCAGGTTTTAAAAAAAATTAACCACAACAATCAGTCACTGGATTTACTTTTAAAAGTCATTATTTGAAACTTAGGTTAATATTAAAGGAATAGAATTTTAAAACAAGAGATTACATATTCTGTATATTCAAACTGGCTTTATAGGGTTGCTCAGTGTCAATACACTTCTAGTTTTCCCATAATGAGGGAAAGACAGAATCTGGCCTCAATATTCAGCAACTCAATGCCATATAATATCTCTATAAAAATGCAAACAATGAAACAGGAAATAATCCATAACAACTACTTATAGATCATCTATACCAAAAGCCATTAGAAAAACAACTGTTCTCAGAAATATTTTTATTAAACTATTAAAAGGAAGTTAATAAGTTCACTTTTATAAAAGTTAAAATTTCAGACAAATCCCTCAATATCTGGAATAAAAATCTATTTTTCCAATATACTAGTACTTTTGTATAGCTGTATTGCGGCATAATTAGTTGATATATCAAAAAGAGCCTTATTTAATTTAATGCACATAATAATTTCATATGGAGTATTTGACTTTTGAATGCTCCCTACTTGTCTGGAGTAGCTGTCTGCCTCTCTCTCTTCCCCTTTCCCTCCACCTTAGAATAAATCATCTTCTCTCTTCCCCCTTTCTCCTACCTTTGAATAAACTTTCTCCTTTTAAAAAATAAATTGCTATGCTTGGACATATTATGCCACCAGTCACCACAATCAAGATGAAAAGCACACTGCCACCTCCCAAAGTTCTCTATGTCCCTGCCCCCTACACACACACTTTTTTGATGGTTAGGACACTGAACCTGAGATCTAGATCTACCCTCTTAAATTTTTATGTGTACAGCACCATACCGTTACCTGTAGGTATCTCACACATGCTATATGTGATACATTACTTACTTGTTTAAAGTAGGTTGGTGCTGTATTTTTCAACTACATTTCTTTCTTTCTTTCGTTCTTTCTTTCTTTCTTTCTTTCTTTCTTTCTTTCTTTCTTTCTATCTATCTATCTATCTAACTAACTATCTATCTATCTATCTATCTAGGAATGAGATGCAGTCTTGCTATGGAGTTCAGGCTGGCCTTGCAACTCACTATATAGACCAAGCTGGCCTCAAACTCTAGTGATCCTCCCACCTCAGCCTCCCAAGTGCTGAGATTAAGGGCGTGCACCACCATGCTTGCCTCAGTATGTATTTATTCTGTAAAGACCTACCCCAATGCCTGGGACTGAAACTGATCTGAGAGAATTTAATTTTTCCAAGTGTTTAAGTGTAAATCTTAATATTGTCAGAAAAGAATACCCATGAGAAAAAGACATAAACGCTCAATCGAGCTGCCTACCTTGGCATCCCAGTCTTTATTTAGATAATATATACATGTCACACATCTTCCATCTCCATTTGGATTATCCACGTGGCGAACATAACCTGTTCCATTGCCTGGGTAACAAGCAACCATAGCCTGCAATAACAACAATGATTTTAAAAGTCTGTGTGTGGACCTAAGGGAGAACAGCAGTGTATTAGAAACAGCCCTAAATTTTGGCTGCTGCGACTTACATTCACATTCTTCTCTCTTACAGAATCACATGGCAGGTAAGAGGGCAGAAAGTTACCAATATTTATAAGAAAGGAGGAGGGTAGGGGACAGTCCAGGGCCTGGGGGCTTCAGCTGATCAGTGACAGAAGGGCTAGCACTGGAGGTTAAACAGTGACACAGCTATGGACCTTGGGTGGCCAAAAGCCAGCGCCCTGCTTGAAATAGCAAAGATCAGGAGTTCAAGTCCCATCACAGGATCTTCACATACTTTCACTGTCAAGGTCTGGAGAGTCTCTTCCCTCTCCCTGCTCAGCACACCCATGTCCCACCTCAGAGAACCACACACCATCTGATGCCTTTCTGAAAGCCACTGGCAAAGATGAACATCACTCATTCATTAAATTATCTGCAGTGCAGGGGATGAACTCAGGGCTTCAGACATGCTCTCCAAGTGCTCTACCACTGAGCTCCACCCTCAGTGAGGATTTGGTGTAATTTAGATGGCCAACTCCAAATATCAATTCATTTAACATTTGTGATTTTAAAAAAAGCTAAGAACAAATCAGTATATTGACAATCCCCCACACACACCCTGAGACAGGGTCCCACTCTGGGTGGCACAGGCTGGCTTTTAACTCACTATGTAGCTCAGGCCGGCTTTAAATTCACATCAATCCTCCCACTCAGCCTCCCAAGTGCTGGGATTACAAGTGTGTGCTGCTACGCCCAGCCCAAACCCCTCTTTAAATCAGAAAGAAAACTATGGCTTAAACTTGTATCCCTAAAAAGAAAACAATCTGATTGCCTTAGACACCCTGGCTTGCTCTTTCTAAGAGCAGATTCCTTGGTGACCTTACAGTATGTCTTTACGTTTTTCTAACTCAAGTCAGAGTTAGAATCAAGGCTTCTTCTAGCACTGGAGTTTGGCAATGCCAGGAGATGGCATGGGCCTGGGAGTGTAAGACTGTTCTATGAACAGTGAACCCAAGTGATTCCATTACCAGCTATCTGAGAAAGGCTCACAGAGCAGGACTCAGAGGACAATCACAAGAGGCCACTGATTTAACAGTGGAGTTAACTCAGGCAGTGACCTAGGAAAGTCAAAGTGATTTAAGAAGGGGAGGGAAAACTCCAGGCTCACACTCCTTCCTACAGCCAGCTCATCTGAGAAGGTAAGCTGGTTCCTCTGACCAGGAGGAGCTGGAGAAGAGAGGGCAAACTCTTCTCCACTCCATCCATGCACTTAGCAGATCTGTCTTGAGACCTTGTATGTTCAGGACAGGGCCAGGTTTACAGTGGTGAAAGGAGACCAAGTCTCTTGCTTTCATTCATTACAAAATGTGACCCAATAAACATGGGATGCAATTCAGCAGCAGGAAGTTATCTTTCCATGAGCTATGAAAGAATACTAAGTAAAGCTGCAGACCATGGGGACATGATATTCTAGGACACCATTAGAGCAGTCAGTTCCAAGGCATTGCCCTCTAACCAGGCAGGCCACATCCAAGGGGGACAGAGGTGCCATTTAGGGGTGGCAGCTACCATGATTGGGCAGCATGGAAGATAAGAGCCAGCCAGGGAGGCAGGGCTGAGCAAGCAGGGCTGTGAGTTCAGAGAGAAGAGAGCCACACTGGGCAGCTGGGCCTGGTAAGCTAAGGTGGGAAACACATCAGCTTGGTCCTTCAGGAAGAGCAGTTCCCACTATGTATGAATGAAAACTAACAACAGCAATAATGTGAGTATCACTCACCACTGACATTTATTGGGTGTTTACTATTTGCCAAGCACTATTCTCAGCGATTCCTGCATAATAACTCACTGGACACACTTGGCGAAATAAACACCCTTTTCTCACCTTTGCTTAATTGTAAGGAAAGGAGGCCAGAAAAGCTAACACATGTCTCAAAGCCTGGGCAGGTGGATGCTGGGAATTTGGTTCACAACCCACGTAATAAGCCCCGTCTAGACTGCTGAGAGGGAGAAATGAAGACATAAGTCAGCTTCTGAAGGTAGAGGATCACTGTGGAGCACCAGCAGGCGGGAAGCAGAGAGAAACGTGAGACCCACTCCATAAATAAGTCATGAGGTTACCATTAACCGTGACCCAGCCCTGGATGAACAAGAAGCAACAATGCTGATAGCATGTGTTAGATAGGAAGGGTATCCCAGCATGCTCAGGAGAAGCCAGGTACCCCAGAATGGAACAGAGCTAAGATGCTGGTACATCACAATTCCAAGTGAGATTTCTTTTAAAAGGATGCAATAAAAGTTTTAAATTTTCAAAGTTTCAGAGAAAAGTTTTAGTTTAATTAAATAAAATTACATTTTTTTTTCCTTTTGGTTTTTGAGACAGGATCTCACTATACAGTTCAGGCTGGCCTTGATCTTCCTGCCTCAGACTCCTGAGCACTGGGATTACAGACAGGCATGTGCCACCACACTCGGCTGCATTACGTTTCCTGAACCCTGACATAGCTCAGCTACCTGCATCTAAACATGCTTCCAAGGGCAGTGTTACAGTTTAGATCTGGAATGTCCCCCAAAAGTCTCATGTGCTCACCTTGGGAGGTGACTGGATCACAGATAATGTGCCCATCAGTGAACTACTGAGTTCACAGCTGAAAGTGCAGAGAGGAGAGGGAATGTGGCTGGAGGAAGCAGGCATGACCCGGCTCCTCCCAGCTTTCCACTTCCAGATGCCAGAAGGTACAGTGTCCTGCCAGCACGAAACTAACGCGGCAGCCATCACCATGCTGGCCTTTTAGCACTCCCTCTCATCTGCTCGGGGCTCAGGACACTGGAGATTAGACGGAGAAAGGAAAGCAGACACGTGTGCCACTCAGCCTGAATTTAAACTTCCACTCGATGAACTTACCAATGCCAGCTAGAGGAAAGGTGGCAGTCCTGATTCTAGTTATAAAAGAATCAAACTGAATAGCAATAAACCCCAGAAAAATCAGAAAGCCTGAAAAGGAAACAACACAATTCCTGCATGTAATTCTGAGGCCATGTTCGTAGGCCATCTCAAAGAGACCCCAACTTTAAATACTTCAACTTCCCAAGAGGAAAACCTATTCAACATAAGCAAAACAACTAAATACTACCTTTCTTCCTCTCTGATATGAAAATATACATGTTCAAGGATGTTCTTAAGATAGGAAACACCATAAATGTGTTTTTCCCTCTGAGAATAAAAGGAAGGAAGAGGCTTGCGATACCTCTTTGGAGTCTGAAAGCATTTATTTCAAGCATTACACACTTCAATATGAAGGTGAACCAGTGAACTCCGTTGTTTTAAAAATTTTCCTTTTTGAAGTGAATTATTGAAAAACAGAGATTCATAGCTAAGAGAATTAAAATGTGATGGTAGACTACCTATAGCCTCCAATGTTAGCAATTGCTTTGGAAAAGAACCAAACACGGAAACCATGCACAGACTCAGTCACAGCTAAGGAAAGCACAAAGGTCAGGGTGATAAACACCACAAGACGGGCATTCAAGTGCCCAGGTACAAGAACATGACCCACTGTCTGGGAGTGGGGCACCTGGAAAGACTTGAGCTAGAGACACTAACATGTGAGCAGGACCTTGAAGGACAAAAACCGAAATCTGAAAGAGCGGGGAAGAATTCCAGGTACTAGAGGGAACAGAAGAGCTGCACAAATGGACACTCGCGAAGACACAAATAAGGACACCACAGCAGATGTGTGGTGGGGACAGGAGGCACCACGGGAAAGCAGGCGGGCAGCTGGGAAGGTGATCACGCAGTTGCTGAAGATGGTCACCTTGCAGGCCACAACTAGCCAGATGTACACGATCACCTGGGCTGCTTCCCCAAAATAATGATCCATAGCCTATCTACCTGAAATTGTGGATTTGAATATAGGGATGAAGCCTGGGGTCCTGTACTTTTAAATGAGCCCTCCATTCTGTCTGGCAAAGGGCCAAACATAAAGGGCTGGGAATTGTGATAAAATAATTCATCTCAGTTTCATAAATATCACTCAGACTACTTGCTGAAGATGAAGGATGACTCAGAAGAAGAGGGTATAGACCCAGAAGTGCAGGACAGGAGTCAGAGCAAAGGGCAGAGGAGATGGAAAGTGCAGGGTGCACTACAGCTGTAAGAATCTAAAGCAGACAGGGCCTGGGGTGCTGAGAGAGGAGGAAAAATTGCCTCTATCCCCATGTTGTGAAAAACTAAAACTGTAAATAAGGATCAAAATGTATAATGTGAAACAGGAAGAAAACGTCTAAAGGAGTACGGAAAGTAGGAGGGGTAGAGGAAAGGAAAGAAGGTAAAAGGAAAAACATGGAAACAAAATCGTTGTAAATAGGGAGGGGTGGAGAGGGTGAAGAGAGGGCAGGGGAAGGGGGAAGAAATAAGAACCAAGATACATCATGTAAAGATCCCAATGATGAATGTAACTCTATCATATACCTAAAATGTACCAATAAACCCAATGGAAAAAAAAATATCCCCAGGTTCATTCACTAAATATTGACTGAGCACCTACCATTTATCAGGCAGTCTAGGATACAGAATGAACAGAAAGGTTAAGTGTGCATTCAAAGCCAGCCTATGCTACATAGAGAGTTCAAGGCCAGCCTGAACCTGAACCACACAGTGAGACCCTATCTCCAAAAAGAAAAAGTACAGGAAGGCGTTCTGCAGATGTAATTTCCTTCTTCCTTGTCAAACATCTTCACCACTGTGTCTGACAGTGCCTACTATGTAAACTTCATGCTCTCATGGAATCTTCACAGTCTACAACTGCCACCCTCTCTCTTCACTGAAGGATGGGGAGCTTGGAATGGCCACAAAGCTCAGCAGTCAGCCAGGCTGAGAATCCAGGACTACTGGGATCTCTGGCCCTGTCCTAGGCCTTTTATATTTATAAGTCTCTGCAGCTAAGCTCAGA